CACTACAGAGACAACTATCTCCATTCAGGAGAGAGAAGTTAAAAGACTTTTCAAGAGGCAGAACCCACGCAAAGCAGCTGGCCGGACTGTGTCTCTCCAGCCACTTTCAGGCACTGTGTGGACCAGCTGTCTCCGGTGTTCACCAACATCTTTAACACCTCCATGGAGACATGCCATGTACCAGCCTGTCTCAAGTCCTCCATCATCATTCCAGTGCCCAAAAAGCCAAGGCCAACAGGACTAAATGATTACAGACCCATCGCCCTTACCTCCGTGGTAATGAAGTCTTTTGAGCACCTGGTCCTGGCACACCTCAAAGCCATCACAGACCCTCTCCTGGACCCCCTTCAGTTTGCCTACAGAGCCAACAGGTCTGTGGATGACGCAGTTAACATGGCTCTCCACTTCACCCTACAGCATCTGGACTCCACAGTGTCCTACGCCAGGATCCTGTTTGTGGACTTTAGCTCGGCTTTTAACACCATCATCCCTGCCCTGATTCAGGACAAGCTCTCCCTGCTGAACGTGCCAGACTCCACCTGCAGATGGATCACAGACTTCCTGTCTGACAGGAAGCAGTGCGTTAAGCTGGGATCACAAGTTTCTGCCTCCAGGTCCATCAGCACCGGATCTCCTCAGGGCTGCGTTCTTTCCCCTCTGCTCTTCACCCTGTACACCAACAGCTGCACCTCCAGTCACCCGTCCGCCAAACTCTTGAAGTTTGCGGACGACACCACTCTAATTGGGCTCATCTCTAATGGTGAGTCTGATTATAGGAGGGAAGCTGACAACCTGGTGACCTGGTGTAGCCAGAACAACATGGAGCTTAATGCTCTTAAGACCGCGGAGATGGTTGTGGACTTCAGGAAGAATACAGCCCCACTCACCCCCATCACCCTGTGCGACTCCCCAGTGAACAATGTGGAGTCCTTCTCGCTTCCTGGGCACTATTCTTTCCCAGGACCTCAAGTGGGAACTGAACATCAGCTCCCTTATCAAGAGAGCTCAACAGAGGATGTACTTCCTATGGCAGCTGAAGCAATTTAATCTGCCAAAGACAATGATGGTGTGCTTCTATACAGCCATCATTGAGTCCATCCTCACCTCCTCCATCACCATCTGGTATGCTGCTGCCACTGCCAAGGACAAGAGCAGACTGCAGCGTATCATCCGCACTGCTGAGAAGGTTGTAATCTACCAACCCTTGAGGACTTGCATACCTTGAGGACCCTGAGGCGAGTGAGGAAGATTGTGGACGATTCCTCTCACCCTGGATACTCTCTGTTCCAGATACTCCCCTCCGGCAGAAGGCTGCGGTCCATCAGGACCAAAACCTCACGTCATAAAAACAGTTCCTTCCCATCCGCTGTTGGCCTCTTCAACAAGGCCAAGGGCTTAAATGACTTTTACACTTAAAATGACTTTTACACTGACTATAACATTTTATCTACATAATTACACCTAGTCATACTTACAACGTGTTATCTTATTTGTATTTTTGTATTCTAAGATTGTATATTATGGCTAATTTACATTTTACATTTCACATTTTATATGGTCTACTTATTCATAATTTTAAATACTTTAGCCCGTTAGTATTAGTTATATTTTGTAACGTTAGTATAGTTAGACTGTATATCACCTATTCGAGTTCTTAAGATTGCTCAATGTTGAATGTATGCACCTTCCGGCCATAGTAAATTCCGTGTATGTGTAAACTTTCATGGCAATTAAAACCGTTTCTGATTCTGAGACAGCGTCTGAATGCGCTGTCTCCCCGACAGACCTGGTCTTCACCTGAGGACGGCTGCCTGCGTTGTGGCCGAAACGTCGTGAGAATTATTTTATTATGTTTTATTTTTATTATTTTATTATTTTCCTTCTACGTGACTTTACAGAAAGAACGAAGAAGGTGCGAAAGAAGTTAAACATTCATACACCGCACCTTTGAAAAAGCACAGTTGGCTATGTACGGTAGAAAAGAAGTTCAACATACATACAAAAAGCAATGGAATGCTAAACCACTGATAACGGAGTAGCTAGCGGTGGTCCTATCATGAGCCACATAAAATACAATGATTAGGGGTAAGTTAATTATCACCGCCTTGACACACACCCTTCTGTGTCCAGCCCTCGTGTCACGTGACCTATGGATTGGGGGCAGGTTGTGGGGTTTAAAAGTGAGGCGGCATCCCCCGTCCTTCCTGCACCCCACCTCCGATCCACTTCTCGTCGAGTGCCGAGGTGAGTGGCGGCGTTTGCAGCACATGCAGGGAGGGGACGATGGTGATGAAGGTGGTGATCGAGTTGGTGATGGTGGTGATCATGGTGGTGATTGATGGTGGTTGGAGTGGTGATGATTGTTGTGATGATGGCGGTATTGGTAATAGTAGTGGTGGTGATGGAGGTGGTAATGATGGCAGTGGTGGTGATTGTGGTGCTGGTGGTGCTAGCAGTGGTGATAGTGGTGGTGACGATGGTGATGGAGGTATTGATGATGACGGTGGAGATGTTGGTGTTTGTAGTTGTAGAAGCAGTTGTTCAGGTGATTGGCTCCAAATTCAATTTTCAATTTTTTCTTATTCATATAATTTTATTCACGTAATTATCATGAATTTAACGTTTGGATGCAGTTTGCATGACATTTTCACAGATAAAAATAAAAAAATCCATTCCCAGACAAACATTCTATGACTGTAACGTGATCGTGACAATTTCTTGCGTTAAGCGACGACTTACGGTATCATCAATCTTCCTTTATCGACCATACTGCAGCAGACCCTTGGCTTTCGCGGGTTTATCGCTCTCGATTTTGACCTATCGCAGGCAACCTCTGCACACCCATTTAGTTATGGCGGGGGTTCGTTTTGGCCTTTCGCGGGCATGCACGAAAGGATCACTTGAGAAGCTTCTCGATTGATGGTGCTATGTGGCTGATGCCATGGTGCAGGGTGGGCGAGCGACACGAGGCAGTCAGCTCCACCTCAACCTTTGAATCTCGCGGACAATCAAAGACCCGTCGACAATGATCACCCCGTATAGCCTATTAACAGACTGTTGGGGCAAGTGCTGTTAGCGAGCACCTTTTAAGTTCGCAAGGGGTGGGTGGTCAGCTGCCTTTTGTCTTTCTAGTGGCGACATTTATACATAGCACCAGGTTTTTATTTGAGGCTGATTTGACCTAGGGGAGGACCCAGACCGGTTCAGATAATCGTCACTGGTGTTGGCCGTGAGCGGTAATCGAGCTCGGTCGACGGTTTCGTACCGCAGCGTAGCGCTAACCTTAGCACGACCGCTTCCCACTCATGGACAAAAAACACACCCCGCTTTGGATCATCATCAGTAAAGTTTTGAATACTTAAATGACTCTTTATTTTCTAGGAATATTTTTTTGTAACGGTTTTTTTTCATGTTTACTTAAATGATGTATTTTTTCGTTTATTTGGCACGCATTACGGTACTTATTTAAATTGTGATGTTGCCTATTTTTGGATGCCGTGCACCTAACGTCGTTATTTAGGGTAAGGCATTGCATATCGCGGGTTTGCCTATCGTGGCACTTTCCAAGGACGTAACCCCCCCCCCCCCCCCCCGATATCCAAGGGTCTCCTCTACTGTGGAGAAACGATCCACGAGTCGAATTTCCTGGATGACTGCTAGCTGGGCACATCTCCACCCCAACAATAACTCGATTGTTAGTGGCTGCTGCGGGTCTTTGCCATCGAAACTAGCTGGGTAACTGGCTCCACGGGATTTTCTGTGTAACATATGAATGTTATTTTTTTACTACGTGACTTTACCGAAAGAACCTAAGAATATGAATCCTTGCAGTCACGAAAGCTTCAAATCTAGGAATATAAATGTTGAACTGATTTGCAGAAGAGATATGCTCGATCTAAAAAATTCCTCAATTTTTTAAATCTGCGTTCCTATAACCGCAATTCTTTCGCCAGAATATCCTTTAAATGCTCACAATCCATATTATCTTGGCATATCATTACGTAGAAAGCGTATTAGTGCTCCAACTGCAAGATTGAGAATAGAGCATGAAAATAACATCTGTCTCTTATTTTAGTGCCAGAACAAGTACATATATAACCTGTTTCCGTTCTATGCATGTGTGTATATGCATGTGGGGAGCGGTAGGGTGGTGGCTAGTGCGCTGCACTACGAACCCGGCCACCCGAGTTCGATTCACGCTCGAGGGCCAAAACCAGTAAAGATTATCTGAAACCGGTCCTGGACCTCCCCTAGGTCGACTCAGCGTCAAATGAATACCTGGTGCGGTGTGTAAACATCGCCACTCGTGAGGGAAAGGTGGCCAGGCGTGGTGCTGGCCACCCACCCCCCTGTGTGCCGTGCCCTGCCTTTAAGGCTATACAAGAGGATCTTTGTCCCCGTGTCACTTTGAACAACCCTTATACCAATTCAGATTTTTCAAGCTGTGTGTATGTACAAATTTGGTAAAGATCGAAAGTGGGTTGTCTGCAGGCGTGCAAGCATCTACAGATGACGACCTTTTATTCACGAGCTATGGGCGTGAAAGAAAACATGTCGCTTGAACTATAACATTCAAATAATCCGAACGCTTTTGTGTGCACCACAAAGTCCTCCTAGCAACGGTATCCTTTAGCAACAGGCGGCCCACGCAATAGCGTCCCTAACAACAGACATCCCTAGCAACGGCATCCCTAGCAACGGCATCCCTAGCAATAGCGTCCCTAACAACAGACATCCCTAGCAACGGCGTCCCTAGCAATGGCCTCCCTAGCAACGGCATCCCTAGCAACAGGCGTCCCAAGCAATCGCATCCCTAACAGACATTCATAGAAACGGCGTCCCTGGCAACGGCCTCCCTAGCAACAGGCGTCCCAAGCAATCGCGTCCCTAACAACAGACATAGCTTGAAACGGCGTCCCTGACAACAGCATACCTAGCAACATGCTTCTCCAGCAATGGCGTCCTTAGCAACAGGCATCCCTAGCAAAGGTGTCCCCTAGCAACAGGCGTCCCTAGCAACAGCCATCCCCTAGCAACGGCTGGTCCTGAAGGACGCCTCGTGAGAGGTGCTGGAATGGAAGGAATGAGAATGCACTTGAGGAATGAGTTATCGAATGAGGTAAGAATAAAAAAATGTTATCTCAAAAACGTTCACAATGCTGCTCATATGTACTGAAAAATTCAACAGCTGATGCCTTAAAGCGATTATGTGGTTGTAAAATCAAATGTTTCGCTGTTTTATAGTACACTTGCGTGAATGATCAGATTAGTTATAAATGACTGAATAATGAGAGTGCGAAGATTGAATGAATGAAAGTACGAGTAACTGAATGACAGAGAAATTAGTAAGTTAAGGAGGCAAGAGTGAGAGACTGAGGAAAGAATGCTACATTATAGAACGAGTGAGTAAATGAGGGATGCACGTGTGAATGGAAGGATTGAAAGGATTGAGGGAGTGAATACATGAGTGGAATGAGAGATACATCAGCGAAGGCGGAAGAGAAAATGGGCCAGAACAAATTAAACGAATTAATTAATGGAATGAGTGTGGTATAGGGTTTAGTGGTGTGGCTGTGTGGTATAGGGTTTAGTGGTGTGGCTGTGTGGTATAGGGTTTAGTGGTGTAGTTGTGTGCTATAGGGTTAGTGGTGTGGCTGTGTGGTATAGGGTTTAGTGGTGTGGCTGTGTGGTATAGGGTTTAGTGGTGTAGTTGTGTGCTATAGGGTTAGTGGTGTGGCTGTGTGGTATAGGGTTTAGTGGTGTAGTTGTGTGCTATAGGGTTAGTGGTGTGGCTGTGTGGTATAGGGTTTAGTGGTGTGGCTGTGTGGTATAGGGTTAGTGGTGTAGTTGTATGGTATCTGATTTAGTGGTGTAGTTGTGTGGAATAGGGTTTAGTGGTGTGGCTGTGTGCTATAGGGTTAGTGGTGTAGTTGTGTGGTATAGGGTTTAGTGTGTAGTTGTGTGGTATCGGGTTTAGTGGTGTAGTTGTGTGGTATCGGGTTTAGTGGTGTAGTTGTGTGGTATAGGGTTTAGTGTGTAGTTGTGTGGTATAGGGTTTAGTGTGTAGTTGTGTGGTATAGGGTTTAGTGGGTAGTTGTGTAGTATAGGGCTTAGTGGTGTAATGTAATGGTGTAGTAGTGTACACAAGTGGCATCGTGTGTACTATAGTGGTATGATGATGTCGTGGAATGTATTCGTGCAGTGATGTGGTGCAGTGGTGTGCTGTATTGGTTTGGTGTAGTCATGTGGTAGAGTGGTTCAGGATGTAGTGTGCTGTAGTGCACGGTGTAGTTGAGAGTCTAGTTTAGTGGTGTGGTGTAGTTGCGTGTTGTAGTGTGAAAGTGGTGTCGTGAAATGTGGTGGTCGTGTACAGCAGTGGTGTAGTGTTTCGTGAGTTAATGTAATGGTGTAGTGTAATGGTGCAGTGCAGTGGTTCAATCTTGATTTGAAGCTTTCGTGACTGCAGGAATCTATACTGTCTGGTTAGTTATACCTACGTGACTTTACCGAAAGCACCAGAGTAGTGCAGTGGTTATCAACCTTGATTGGCTCCTGTACCCCCTCCCCTCCTTGTCTGACCCAACACGGTTTTGATGAATAAACGTAACGAATGATGAACATCATCAAAATTATTTTGTAAATGTTTTAATCTTGTGAGGTTTATCCGAACGAGCGAGTTACTTGCAAGCGAATACAAAAACATTCTACGGACTTTCTGCGTGCGTGACGCGATGTGTTCACGCTCGCCGGTTACTCTTGGAAACCAACATTGTTTCCGATCAATGAGTTTAGAAAGGTCTTTCACGTCGTTCTAGGTTACCAAACGGATTAAAAATTTATCATAGTTATTTTATTATTGGCAGATCCGTACAACATGATTATTCACCAATGACTCTCACGTATGATGCAATTTCACACATTTATAAATCACCTCACGTACCACCCTCTGGGACATTGACAGGGGGTGAGGTGATGCCTCTGGTGTGGGTCAATCAGTTTCAAAGACAATGTACACATTATTAACAGAACATGTTTGTTTGAACGTTTTATCCGTAACGTGTGTGGTTAATGCAGACTTGATGTCTTGCAAAAGGTGTGCCCATTTGGTGTTTGAACAACTTAACACCATGCCTGTTTTATTGCTAGAAAGGGTAAAATATATTCTTACGTTTGCATCACATGCGATGCAAAGTGTGAAATCACAGCCACCGAATTAGACCAAGGATACTCTTTGGTTCATTCGGTAAAGTCACGTAGGTATAAAATTAAATAAATCACGACGTTTCGGGCGCAACACAAGCGTCCGAAACGTCGGGATTTCTTTTATTTTATAACTACGTGACTTTCCTGAAAGAACCAAGAGTATGGATTCCTGCAGTCACGAAAGCTTCAAATCTATATTGATGCCCAAGGATATTCGAACCACTCCTCTGAGCCTTCCCTCTAGGTCAGGCATGGTGCAAATATAACTGATGGCTGCCCACCTTAATAGGTGCTCGCTAAGCAGTACTTGACCATGCGGACAGATAGTCAATGTACACGGTGGTTCCGATTGTCTTTCGACCCCCCTCCCCATTTAAACACATTCCTGCGGAGGGAGCTGGTAGGAACGTTGGGTTGCTCGGTCAATGGCCAGGGTCAACGGCGGCGTGGTGTATTCCGCAAATATTCCCGACTGTGAGGGCGGGCACAAGCCAGCGTGAGTAGGTTAAAAGTTGAGTTTTATAAGGGCACCACGGGGTGACCAGCCCCTCCCCACCCAGCCCCACCCCTCCCACCCCCCACCCAGCCCCACCCTCCCCACCCAGCCCCTCCCCACCCTCCCCACCCTCCCCTCCTCTCCCCACCCAGCCCCACCCTCCCCACCCAGCCCCTCCCCACCCTCCCCACCCTCCCCTCCCCACCCAGCCCCACCCTGCCTGCCCAGCCCCTCCCCACTCTCCCCTCCCCACCCAGCCCCTCCCTCCCCACCCAGCCCCTCCCTGCACGACGGACGGACTGACAGAATAATCCCCTGTGGGCTGGTGTAACCAGGAGGTTCCTACCAGTATTATCTAAGAATATTTTTTTTAAAGTAAGGTTTCATTTTAAACATATATGAATATGCAAAAAGGGAAAAGAAAAAAATGTAGGGGTAAATTCATTGAAAGAAGTCACAAGACATCCAGACCATCTTGTAAGTTGAATCACCGAGTGCCATGGATCTTTGTGTTTTGTGTGTGGTGTCTGTGTGTGGTGTCTGTGTGTGTTTGTCTGTGTGTGGTTTCTGTGTGTAGTGTCTGTGTGTAGGTTTTCGCTATGGAATTCCAGGTGCAGAACCCCGCGATCCAGCAGCAGTCCGAGCTGCAAAAGACCCACGCGGTGCAGAAGATGCAGTGGTCTACCGGCATATTCGACTGCTGTAACGACATGAATGTTTGTAAGCACTGGTCGAGTGTGAGGTGGATGGTGGGGGTGCACGGTGGGGGGGGGGGGGGGCACGGGTGGTGGGGTGGTACAGGCAGGGAAGGTTTGATAGGGGGGGGGCTCTCCCCCTAAGGGAAGCAAGCCGTGAGCTGTGCCCCCCACCCCTCTCAAAGGCCATCAATGTAGCAATGTCCCTTCTTCTACTGGCTCCTTATCCCCACCAAACTTGAACCATGGAAAAGAACTTCGGTAGTGGCGAGCTGACTGCAACCCACCGCTCCAGGCCCACATGCAACAAAAGACAAATATCGCCCCCTCCGCCACCTGTAAGCCTCTAACAGGATGCTGTTGTTGTTGTTGTGCGCAATTATTGTTTACGAGCAAAACCTATGAAGGCCGGCACGGCATACTAAACAATTAACTTCTTTTTTTGACTAGGAAAGGCCCACTGAGCTCGATAGCTCTTTTTCAGAAGCGATCTGGCCATCACAAATTAAAGCACAAAGAAGTGGCTTATAGCGTGGAAATATAGACCAGCCAAAAGCTCTAAACGCGTGATGTTGATTCTAAATGTGGAGGGGAAAATCTGAGAACCCGGAGAAAAATCCACATGACCACGGGGGGGAGAGACACAAACTCCAAATATACAGCAGCAGCAGGCATCGTCAGGGTCGGGATCGAACCGACGACCTCCTGTAGACCAGGCGAGGTAGTCAACATCTACCACGACCTCCTGTATACCAGGCGAGGTAGTCAACATCTACCACGACCTCCTGTAGACCAAGCGTGGTAGTCAACATCTACCAAGACCTCCTGTAGACCAAGTGAGGTAGTCAACATCTACCACGACCTTCTGTATACCAGGCGAGGTAGTCAATATCTCTGAGCCACCGTTGCGCCCTTAACATCTCGCCGCATAATAGGGGGGGGGGGGGGGGGGGGGGGCAACACCACGCCCGGTCACCCGATGTCTCTATACCATGCCGATGTGTACACAGATTACGTACCAGGTACGAAGGATTTTAAGGCCGTCGTCATTATAGGGACGGTCAAGAACCGCTTCAAATTTTCCCTGACACTGTTTATTGGCCGTGAGCGGGAATCAAACCTCGGGTTCGTAGCGCAGCGCTGCGCCACCGCTGCCCATACACACACACAGAGACAACGTTTCCCTCGTATCGCCTCTAAAGCCTGTTGGGGCAAGTGTTGTTAGCGAGTAGAAACCAGGAAAGCCGGCACGGTACACGAGGGGTTGGTATGGCAAGCACCATGCAGGTAAGGTTTGATAGGGGGGGGGGGCGATGTTTACACACAGGCACCAGGTAGTCATATGAGGAGGCTGAATCGACCGAACAAACATGCCCTGAAACGCACACAAAAACACACAAAGCGCTTCGAGTCACACTCTAATCCCATGTTGTCAGGCAACAGCAGCAATAAAGTAACCCCTCGTGTTCCGTGCCAGTCGTCACTGCTCGTGTCACTGGGCCAATTGATATCAATACATTACCTACCTCTCACGCAAGTAAGTCGTCTCGCACACAGTCGCACCCTTTTTTTCCCCGACCTTCACTCACGGGGCAAATAAATATTAGGGCATTCGTCGATTGATAAGCCGGTTTGCCCCACACCAAAATAATTTAGGGGGAAATAAATTAATAATACAATTAATGATACAATTGAAAATACAATTAAGAACACATTCCTGCGGAGGGAGCTGGTAGGAACGTTGGGTTGCTCGGTCAATGGCCAGGGTCAACGGCAGCGTGGTGTATTCCGCAAATATGCCCTACTGTGAGGGCGGGCACAAGCCGGCGTGAGTAGGTTAAACGTTGAGTTTTATAAGGGCACCACGGGGTGACCATCCCCTCCCCACCCAGCCCCACCCCTCCCACCTCCTACCCAGCCCCATCCTCCCCACCCAGCCCCTCCCCACCCAGCCCCTATCTGCACGACGGACACAATAATCCCCTGTGGGCTGGTGTAACCAGGAGGTTCCTACCAGTAATAGCCTACCGTACATTTGTAATGCGCAGCAGAGGATTCACTCAACAACTCAAAATCGCCAGGAGGAATTGCAGAAAAAGCAGCCACGCAGTGGTGAGCCGTGGCTACCAACAATGTCCCAAACTCTGAGGTCCCCTATCTATGTTAAGATGTTTTCCAGACAATTTAAGTGTTTACACGTTGGAGGAAATTGGAGTACCCTGAGAAGATCCACACAGACAGGGCAGGTTGTGGAGTGCACGTGTTTAGTCTGTTGTCCATCCCCTGCACCTCCGATTGGCACAGTTGGATATGTACGGTGCGAAAGAAATTCAACATAGAGGAGTCTCTCGATGATTCGCACGAATGACTGGGAGGACGGCCGCGAATAATTCAAAATCGCGGATAATCCAAAAATATACGTTTTCTGCGGATCTCTATGACGAGAAAGTTGAGTTCGGTTTAAGCACGTGACTTGTAATACATATTTCCATGAATAACAATGTATAATTGTTTTTAGATTATTCATTTAGGCTTAAGGGGAAATGCATGAGTTATGAATTTATGTTGAAGTCTCAGGTGCGCAATCCGCAAATCGGCTAAAGTGCACGTGGATCATCGAGAGTCTGCTGTATAGTAGACATTAATATAGACATACTGTGTTCCTCTGGTGAGCTACGGGAAGAGAGTTATGCTCCTGGAAATAGCATTGAGACTCGATGAAGCTTTCTTGGTATACAAAATTAACTAAAATTGGATTCTTATTCAGATTAGTGATTATTATAATTGAGAGTGGATTGTATTAACACCTAGATATTCTCAGTCACTTGAAAGATACCCTCGTTTACATTTGACACGTGAAAAAAATTGTTGTGTCACACGCTCCTCTACCCGACACAGCCAATTAATAAAGTTTGTCACGTGAGCAAAGGTCCAGGTTTTGTGACCACTTCAAGACCACCGATCGAGCGGTGGGCGTGTTGGAGAGTTTATCTGACGCGCATTTAAACAATCGGAGAGTTTGATGCAACGCCGATGGTGGCAGCCAGCATCGTCAGGCAATTGCCAGAATTGTAGAAATTGTCCTCCAGTCTTGAACTTCATGGCCTTGTCCCACCGTACTACGCTTTCTTCGTCTCGCTTAATGTCCCCCCCTGCCTCGCCCACTCCGATCTCAATCTCTCCCACTCCTCACCGTTCCCCCCTCTCCTTGTGCATAATCACCGTTTCCGCTCCTTTTTCCTACTTCCTCCTTGCACTGAAACAAACTTCCCCTCCACATTAAGCGAGAAGCACCCTCCCTCTCTAATTTCCGCTCCTCCCTCAAGACCACCACTTCACCCTGGCCCATCCTTCCCTCAATCCCTAGGCACCCCCGTAACTCCGGTACCCACTAACCTCCCTCCCCATACCCCATCCCTATTTACCACATTATTTTAGATACCCTCATGATACTAATTCTAGATTTGAAGCTTTCGTGACTGCAAGGATTCATACACTTAGGTTATTTCGGTAAGTCACGTAGGTAAAAAAGAGTAATGATAATGAAATAAAATAATAATAAATGAAAATAACTATTATCATTATTTCATCTAATTGTACTACTCATAACCCTTGTAAAATTCCTTGGATGAAGGCGCTATAATAAATATTAGGTAAGATAATCGATTATCCGGCACCGCGCGATCATCCGGCTGCTGCTTCCAAAATTATTCAGCGGTCCCTGGCGCCAATCCGAGGAAACCACGGAACGGCTGTGACCAAGTCCAGCGATCGGCAGCACCACGTGCGTGACGAAGAATGAGGCTATGCTTGAATCCAGTGTTAAATATGATATAGAGTACATTATACACTATACATACAACTTAAACCATGAAAATACTGCACGTATATATATCACCCCATGCTGCTTCGAGATTGGAATTTAAGTCTGGTACAGTAAATATAGTCAATTTTCAAAGGAGGATATTTATTTTGTCGATTTGTTTCTTTATTTATCCAAATTTCATATGGTAAACAAATTAAAAAAGAAATAATCGATACAAAACATGATGTAGCGATTATCTGGCGTTTTGAAAATCCGGCGCCACCTCCCCCCCGAAGCTGCCTAATAATCGATGCTCTACTCTATGATTATTTTTTATTATTTGCTGTGGGTTATGAAGAGACAAAAGGGAAGCCCCCGTGTAAAGAAAAGAAGAGGGTGTTTGAGGCTGGGGATGCTCAGGAGAGAAATTCATTCGGCCATATTTGTCTTAATCAGAATTAGAATCAGGATATTTCTTCTGCAGGAGGAATCCGATGAGCTATGAAGCTCTTTATTTCACAAATATCCAGTCGGGGCGCGAGGTCAGAACGTTTTTTATTATCTGGCGCCCCATGCCTCACCCCCAAAGCCGCCGGAAAATCGATCATCTCCTGCACGTGGTGCGATGTCATCAATGTGCATCAGCAAACTGCCCTCTACTTACCGGGGTCAGAACACTCGAGGCATAATTGGAAGCTAGTGAGGTCAAACCCACGTTGGATTACCTCATGCACAACATAATCATCATCTCTGTGGAGGCGCTAAAATGCGTAGCCCACTAAAAACAAAACAAATCAGTAACCAGGAGTTGCCCACAAGAGCGACTGGTCCCCATCATGCTAAACGTGGAATTTCCACCACCAGCCTTGATGATCCCAAAACCTCGTCTTCAATGAACTCTCATCCACGTTCGTTTGGCACGTGTCGCGTTACGACCGAAGCTCACTTTGGTTGGCGGTGGGGTGTCACTGCATCCCCCCACTCAGTCAATCCAAAGACTCGCGACCTCACGTGGTGCTTTTATCGTCGTTGCTCTACCAGCCCGGGCACAGATGGTGCAAACGCCAGAAGCCACAGTTTGCTGTATATTTGGAGTTTGCGTGTCTCTCTCACCGTGGTCTCGTGGATTTTTCTTCGGTTCCTTTGGGTTTTTTCTCCACATTTAGAATCAATATCACGCGTTTAGAGTATTTGGCTTGAATACATTTCACACATAATCC